TTCTCGTGCAACTTTTTTGCTCGCATTTGGAGCTATCTTTAATTTTTCTTAAAGGAAGCAGTCACGATAATTTTCATGGCAACGATAAGGAAAGCTATGTATTGGAGTGGATAGAGGTCCTGCCCAATGTTAGAACACGTGAAGTTTCAGTGGCAGTGGCGCCCTTATCAACGGAGTGATAAGGCGCCGAAATCCACTTCCGTTCAGCAAAACCAAGACTTATCGATGTGGAAAGGGGTGCGATAAGAGCGTGCTAGATATGATACCGTTATCGTTATCGTCCCGTTTTCATTCTGGAGTGCACCTCTTATCAAGCAGCCGCACCTTCTTATCTCATCGTATCATATCTTCCATGGGCTTACACTCGTCCAACAATTACTGCCTCACACCTTATCGATTGATAACGCGAGGGTAGCAAATCCAGCGTGGAAGCCAGCGTGACGCTTCCTTTAAAAAAATACGAGCTCGGGCGGCCGCGACAGCCCCTCTCGCGATTAGCAGAATGAAATGTTGCATGAGATGCATAGATTTAGGCTTGCTGTGGAATCGGGTCCAGAGTTCGACGGTGTGCCTCTGACAGAATGCTATTTGGGATGTGAGGTCCACAAGCTGCACATTTACGATAGGCAGCAATCGTCTATGGGCTCAAATACCATATTGGAAGATCACTTAGGACAGGTAAGTACCGTTTTGCTCACAACTTTATCACTTCTGGCTTCAATGCGAACAAATTGGGCCAAGTTTCCCTGCGCAATGTCCATTAGTCGACAACGGCGCTCATGTCGTTGGAGGAAGGGGCTTAGCTCAAGGGAGGGCAAGACATTCTGGGAGAGTTGTGAGCAATATCAGATCTTGATCAGCTCCCTTCACCTTGGGGGCCGCTCTCTTCGTTATATTAGGTTGGAAAGAAAGTCCTGCAACACTTTTTCAAATTTTTGATTTTAATTTTATCTTTTTTGGTTACAACTTCTGACGGTCTTATATCTACCATGAGTGTCCACCACTTGTCTCCATCGCTCAGAAAATTTCTTGATCCTCCTCTGCCAAAACCCAGCGGAGTGCGAGTCGAGAAAGGAGGCGACCTCACTTTCGAGTTGGAGTTGATCGTCTGATTATTTCGTTATAAAGATGATGATTAAAGGTCCAGGATAGGTAGCACTTATTTACAGCTCGACCAGGGGATTACGCTAAGAGAGGAAAGAAATCTTGCCGCAACTCCAGAATTTCTTACCGGGCTCATTTCGGATCATGGTGATTCGCAATGTCATGAAAGAAATGAATATTGTCGCGGTACGAGGGCTCTTGACGAGCTACCTCGGCCAGCTTCTGGTATTCCACAACCTAGGCCACTGCCTACACAATGGTGCCCATAACGAAGGGTATGTAGTGGAGCTTCTGTAAGAGCCCTACCTGTAATGGAGTGTGAGGGATGCTGCTGCTTCTTATAAAAATATCAAAAGATCGGAAGCGCTGGTAAAGGTGAAACACGCTGTATCGCTGAACGGCATGCCATTAGAAGCTATTGCAGATAGTGTCAGTCGTTGACACGAATCCATGGTTTTGTAGACATTTGTACTAGACAGTGACTCGGAGTACGGATTTGCTAGTGGTCGAGATTTTTTGAATTTTCTTGGATAACTACTGACTGCAGAACTTATATCCACCTCGTGGATTGAAGCCTTGAGAATGCTCTATCATTTGGTAGTCATAAATGTTACCTATGAATTTTTCAGAAAAAAAGAAAATTTTGGAAAGAGTGTTGCAGAACTTTCTTTCCAACCTAATACAAGCGACCCACGAGTTTGTTACTGAAACCCCTATTTTCCATGCCCCCCCCCTCCCACCGCGGCATGGAGCGCCTCCGACAACTATACAGGCAAGCCACACACTCTCTCTCATTGAATGTGTAAGGTGTACAGTTCCACTGTGCAACAGACACGACATCGCCGAGTGTCTGACGAGAAGTGTTAGTCGTTCCGGATCGCCTAGTTGATTCTGGCTGAACTGCACCTGCATCCAGAAAACAATTCCTAGTTAACAAAATACTTCCCTCGACTGAGCCGTTCATTTTTTTTTGCATCCAAAAAAAAATTTTTTCGTCCTGGCTAAATTGTTAGCTTCGTTCACTTGTGTCCTTAATGACAGTTTCACGTTTCTGGCTGGGTCGCATTTCGACAGGGTCCGAGACTGAAAGTTGGTTTTGTTCGGTCAAGTTCCACTTGGTTTGAAATTTGTAGGAACAGTGACTTTTTCTCATGTGGGGTACCGTTTCCCTACAACACGGATTCATGGAAGCCTTTCTTACTGTAAAAGCATTTCCTCCAGTGATCAGGTAGCAGCAGTGGGGTGAAATTGTGAGCGATTACGATTTCAATCATTTTTCTTGATTATTCCGTCTATGGGCTAATTTGAACCCGCTCCCTAAAACCGCCCCAGTTTCTTGTTCCCATCTTCACTATCACCAACACAGCGGCTCATGAATACTGCGGTATCATACTCAAACTTTCCCCACATTGTAATTGGCGCACCCACTCCATCGCCAGCATCTCTTCTCCCTCTAAGGCTTAACCTTAGGCCGATGTCAGACTCTACGAATCAGCGATTTCCTAGCGTCCGTGGTCGCATCGCGGCCAGCTAATCGCTCGACTGGTGACGCAACCGCGCACGCTCGCGAACCGCTCGATTCGTAGTCTAACATCGGCTTTGGGGCTCTCCTTCTTTTGGATCTGGAGGCGAGCCAGGTGCCGTTCTCTAGTCCTCTGTGCTCCAGCCATTCGTGGCAAGAATTAGAAGAAAATTTGAATGGTCTCAACAAATTAGTTTTGGTACTGTGTAGGGCATAAAGTTTTGTACAGTTCATCAGTTCATCCCCTAGAATTTGATGGACCTTTATCCCAGATTCGCTCTCATTCTCCAGATAAAGTGTTACTACGTTACTTCGCTTAAATTCTTTATATGCCTACATCTATTTATTATTTCTCAGACAATGCTGAACTTGTATCGAATTCCACGTTACACTTGTTTAAAAATGGCATTTATTCAGGAAAGCGTATATTTGCACGTTTACGCGACGATCATTCGCTGGTCGTCTACAATCCCAACACGAAGAAGTGGTCACCATACTTCCTTTCACCAGCATCCCATCTAAATGTGATTTCATGTTGTGCCTTCATTATCTGAATTGTGGAGCTCTGAGCAATCTACTCTTTTCCAGCTAGACTCCTTGAACATACGAGGGCTCCATGAAACGTTTGGACGAGCCGGTCATCGGATGGGCGCCATTGAGTCTCCGCTTTCCGTTTACACAGATGGACCTGTGGTTGTCGCAAGGATCAAACGTAATCAAAAGCACTTCTTCTATAGAGTCACCTTCGGTAAGTCAACACAAAATATGTGTAGATATCTTTTACCAGTTGGCGCCGCACGCGTTGCGCGCACAGCACAGTTCTGCGGCGATATGGGATGGTGCGGCGTGAATTCTCGAATTTGGCCCAATACACTTCGAATATTTGACTTTCAAGCTGAATTCTATCCGATTGCCCCATGCTTCATCCACCGATGGCTTTTGACCTTCCCTCCTTCCTCCACCAATTGTCCGTTTTTCCCGGCCTCGGACTGCCTCCGGACCGATTTATGAACCTCGTGGTAAACTCCGCCTATTTCTTTGCATGTCCCACCTATCTTTTTCTTCCTCGCCAACCTCTTCCCACTTTTTACCCGATCTCTGAACTATCTCTGAGCCGATTTATAATTTTGGCGGCGAATCCTGCTTTTTTGGTGTATCCTCCGCACACCATTAGAAATTCACTTCCTTTCCTTCGCTCACTTCTCTCCCGGTCTCCAGCAATTCCTGCAGCTGAGTCACAAAGTTTTGTGGAGAACTCCGCCTACCTTGGAAATGCTCCGCCCA